ACAACATCACTTGTGTGGGTGGAGTGTTACTATCTCCGTGTTCATCTATTATGTTTGTTTGTTTCATTTCAACTCTGTGTTGCCAATCTGCCTTTGCTGAATCCTTTCCTTGTGGCCTCAGGCAACAATCAAGGGGTCTCAAGTTTCAGCGCTGAGCAAGAAGCGCAGGCACTCAGGAAGGCCATGAAGGGCTTTGGTAATCACAGAATCACAAGGTTGGAAACGACCTGCAAGATCATCCAGTCCAACCACCCTCCCATTCCTATTAGTACCACAAGCTACTAAACCATCTCTCGTAGCTCCTCATCCAGGCACCTTTTGAACACTGCCAGGGATGGCGACTCCACCACCTCCCTGGGCAGCCATTGCAGTGCCTGACCACCCTCTGAGAGAAAAAGTTTCTCCTAATATGCAACCTAAACCTCCTCTGGTACAACTTCTGGCCGTTTCCTCGGGTCCTACTATTTGCCTGGGAGAAGAGGCCAGACCCTTTTGCACCACAACCTCCCTTCAGGAAGTTGTAGAGTGCTATGAGGCCTCCCCTGAGCTCCTCTTCTCCACACTGAACAATCCCAGCTCCCTCAGCCGCTCCTCATAAGACTTGTGCTCCAGACCCCTCACCAGTTTCGTTGCCCTTCTCTGGACACGTTCCAGGGCCTCAATGTCTTTCCTGTAGTGAGGGACCCAAAACTGAACACAGCACTCGAGGTGCGGCCTCACCAGTGCTGAGTACAGGGGGATGATCACCTCCCTGCTCCTGCTGGCCACACCATTTCTAATGAAGGCCAGGATGCCGTTGGCCCTCTTGGCCACCTGGGCACACTGTTGGCTCATGTTCAGCTGAGCATCAACGAACACCCCCAGGTCCCTTTCCTCTTCACAATCATCCAACCGCTCATCCCCAAAGTAAGTTGATCTCCTTCTCTCCACGGGCCAACTTTTATTTTTTCTCCAGCACTGGGAACGGCTGCAGCATAAATGGTGGTTTGTTAGAGGGAAGCGTAGCTGCTTGCATTTCTCTGCTGCACAACTGCCCTAAAAATCGTTGGGCAGTGGAAGCAGAAGTGCCCTTCATGTCCCAAAATGCAGCTGCTCTGGTGGTGTGGTCCTGGCAGCTTTGTGTGCACAGATGGAGTCCTGGGGCTGTTGAGAGCCGGCTGTGTAGGGGCCTGGAGGTGGCACAAGAGCAGAGGGCACTTTGATTCTTGTGCAGGCAGCCTGACCAGCTTCCATTTGTTTCTTGCAGGCACGGATGAAGGTGCCGTCATCGAGATCTTGACCAAACTCAATGTTCGCCAACGTCAGCGCGTTCTGATCACCTACAAGGGCACTCCTGGCAGGGTAGGTGCTCTGCAGAGATGTGTGAACGTGGTTGTGTCACTTGGTGAAAAGCGAAAGACGACCCAGCCTCCACCAGAGAAAGGTCAGCAGAGACTTTACCTGACCAAGGTTGTTTTGTTCCTGTTCAGTTCAGAGCAGCTGTCAAAGCGAGGAGGGTTGGAGCCTGAAGAGAAGCGGTGAGCAGCTCATTTCCTTCTGTCCTCCAAGGCCGTGCCTCTGCCAACTGCTTTCTCCTCTCCTGGCCGTCCAGGATTTGATTGATGACTTGAAGTCAGAGCTGAGTGGGAATTCTGAGAGGGGATCATTGGGACGATGACTGCCAGCACCATGTATGGCATGCAGAACTAAGGAGGGCGGTGAAGGCTTGGAAGTCTTCCTTTCGTATGGCTTAAGTTCTGGCCAAGGACTTCCTGCTTTGCTGTGTACGTCTTCTTATGGATTAAACTCCTAAAGAAACCTGGTTGCACGTCACGAGCAGTTGCTGGTATCTGAAACCTTGCCTTGGCGATTCCCTAGGGAGCAGGAACAGGTGAAGGTTGCTGATGGAAACTGTGGCTTCTCCCAGCAATGAAGAGATTCGTTGCTTTGATGAGAACTGCAAGCTTCATAAGCAGAGCAAAAGGCCAGGCCTTGTCCTGCTGTCTGACAGTCAGTGTGTGTGTGTGCAGGCAGATGTGAAGAGGAAGAGTCTGGGGAGCTTTTAGGTGTGACAAACTGGCCAACCTGGGTGTTGCTGTTTGTCCAGAGAGAAGCTAGACTGGAATTTCACCAGGAACTGAACTGGTGTAACTGAAATGGGGAGGAGCATTCTGTCTGTCGGGGGATGTGTGGCTCTCTTGCCAGTTTCTTGCTGTCTGCGCTTCTTAATTGGAGGCTGCAGCACTGGTGATGATGGCTGGAGCGCTGCAGTGATGCTGAGAGCTCTGGGCCCAGTTCTGCACTTAGCAGGTTATGGCTGGTAAATGTTGTGGGCAGCACCCAGGTGGTGGCCCTGCTCATAACAGATGCTGTGTGTGTGTTCTTGTGACCGCCATTGGGGTAGAGGGGAGAGGAGCTAAAAACTTGATTGGCAGCGCAAAGCAGCAGGTCTTGAAAATGGTAATAGCTGTGGTAGGCCAATTAGCAAGACTGTTAGCAATGAAAAGGAATTATTTCTGTGGGAGGATCCTGATGTAGCTGACAGTGCTGCAGGAATGATAGAATGTTCATGCAGTACACGAGGAGCTCGTTGTTGCAAAGTGGTCCTTTGAATCTCTCTGACTTTCTGCCATGGATTCTTCCCCCTGGTTTTCGATGGTACAGAGGCACTGCTGACAAGGACATAACAGACAGCGTTAAATCTGAGATGTCAGGAGACCTGGAAGGTGCTTTGCTGGCTGTGGGTGAGCGCCCTGCTTTTAAACCTTCTCTACAAAGCAATGAAACGATGAGAGGTGCTGTGTCTTCCCTCGAGCGGCTGTTACGTGGTTTCAGGAGGCAGACGTGGTTTGTCTTTGTTTGTGGGCACAAAGCCAGGCTGGGTGGGACTTGGAGCGCCCTGGTGTAGAGGGAGGTGTCCCTGCCTACTGCAGGGGGGTTGGAACTCGATGATCGTAGGGGTCCCCTCCAACCCAAACCATTCTATGATTCTGTGCTTCACAGTCAGGTGAGAAAGCTTTGTGCTTTATGGCACGGTGTGCTTGGCCAAAGGGAGCTTTGGCAGCAGAGGTTTGCTGTCAGGAGACATGAAGGCCTTCGTGCAAATCCTGCTGTGCTGCTGTGCTGCCAGGCACAGAGACATCAGCTCACAGCACATCACTGACTGCATGCCTGCACTGCAGCTGCTGTTTGTTCACCTGGAGTTGCATCTTGACAGAAGAAACAGCTGCACCAAGGAAGTGCTGCAGCGGTGTGGAAAACCTCCTGCTTTTACTGGCCTTAATTCTCTTGTTCTTGTCTCTCCTTACAGTCAGGCGCGTGCGAAACGAGCCTGCGTGCTTTGCTGGAAGACTGTGTAAATCCACGGAGGTAAACAGATTGTGGAGTAAGGTTGCTTGCTTCTTTCTTGCATTTCCGTGCTCGAGTCAGCCAGCAGCACCTTGGCAGTCATGGGATGGGAGCTGCAGCCAGTCCGGAAACTGGCAGTTCCAGGACAGATCAGGCTTTTCTGCACATCAGGGTAACAGCCATACTCAGGAGCAAGCTGCTGCTCATGGATTGCTCCATGAATGCAAGAATGCTGTAATGAAGAGCAGCTCCTGCACGGGACTGGGCCCTGAGACCTTTGTGTCTGCGGGTGATTCTCCAGCAGTTCTGTGTTGGCTGCACGTGGCTGCTTTGCTTTCCAGGGCCTGGGAACAGGCGACAGCACTGTGATCAGAGCGATGGTGTCCCACTCCGAAATGGATCTGCTGGATATCAGAAGAGAACTCCTGACCATAGGAAGTCTCTCTACACCTTCATGAAGGTAAACTTGTCAATGTTAGACACAAACAGAGGGATTTTCTGAGTGCCTTTAAGGACTGATCCCCCCTTGACACCTGTTGGGTATTTTAGAGCAGCTGGGATGAAGCAGACCTTACAAAAACGTACTGAAAATGCTCCTGAATATTGCTAAATTGTGTAGGATACGAACGCTGCAAAAAGAAATCTGTCTTAAGGAGAATTTTACTTGAGTAGAACTTAAGAATTATTCATCTTCCTTTTGTTTCTTTTCTCAGTAACTCAGTTTGTTCTGACCTTCTCTCTTCCTCTCCTCTCCTCTCCTTTCTTTCTTTCTACTTCCTCCCAGGGTGGGATCCTACAGGTGCTGGCCATCAGACCCCCTGCCCCAAAGCGTCCGGCTGCCAGCAGTAGGTGAGTTCACTGGGACTTTGTGGATGGGAGGTGCTAACCAGCGAGTCTTCAGTTTCCACTCCTCAATTCAGGCTTGGAAGCACGCTAAAAATGGGAGATATATCTGGTGTAGGAAGGGGATGTCCTTAGCCAAGGTCCTGGAAAACTGGAGGAAAACGGATGAAACTGCAGATGTACCAACAAAAAGGAAAGCACACGGCGCTTGACTTGGCGGGTTTGTGGGAAGGTCAGCCTCCCTGTGTTTATATTTCAGCCATCGTCCTCCATACTGGAAAGGCTTTACCCGCTTGGCGTGCTTAATTGCAGCACATTGCACGCGTGTGGATAACTTGTGCTATAGCATCCTTGATCCAGACCCCATTTCCATGTTGCATCTCTTTCTCAATGGCCCGCGGTGTCACAGGGGCACCGAACTGCAAATAACGCCCTCGTGGTGTTACTGTAAAAATTTGCCAAGTGAAGCTATGGATGCTCCATCGCTGGAGCTGTTCAAGGCCAGGCTGGGCAGCATGACCCAGTGGGTGGCATCCCTGCCCAGGGCATCGGGGTTGAGCTTCTAGGTTCTGTACGGTCCCTTCCAACCCAACCCATTCCGCTGTTCTGCGTTCCTGTGATGCAATCCCCTGCCCTGGTGCAGTGCATCACAGTCGGAGCAGCCCGCGGGGAGCCTCCGCCTGGCATCACAGAGCCGTGAGGTCGTGATGCCCCGTGCTCTGCGGTGCTGTGCTGAGCTCACAAGGCCTGGCTGTGACGCCGTGCCGCAAGCATCGCTCTGTGCGACTCACTGTGGCTGTAGCGGCGGTGGTGGAAGCATGGTGCGAGTGTGGGGGGCCATGGCCCCTGCCCACCTTGTCTTCCTCTTCCTCCTGATGGCCGTGTGTTTCTGGGAGACCTGCGCTGCTCCGTGGCAAGCACCGGGAGCAGGTGGGTGGGCAGAGATGGGACCAAACCTGAGCAGCGCTGGGGGCAAGAAGTCAGGCTGCGTCCCCACGGCCCTGTGCCGCTCTTCCCTGGGGCCTGCCTTCCAGGGGGGTGTGGGGGGTGTTGGGCAGGGGGTGATGAGCAGCACCACAGGAGCCGGGCAGGAGCCCGTGGCAGCGCTGCTCCCCAGGCCTGGCTCCAGCATGCTGGGCCATGGCTCTGCTCCTTGCTGGCTGGAGCACAGCCTTCATCCTGGGAGGGAGGCGTCCTGGGGAGAGCTCAGAAGATGCATGCTGGGAGACGTGTGAGCGTTTTCTGCCCCAGCCTTGTGGTACGCCCCATAGATGACTCCCAGTTTCCAACACAGCCCCGGCCCACAACCCAGAGGAGGAGACAGATGTGCTTTCCTCCAGGGCTTCAGGGCAGCCTTCCTTTGTGTGCATCAGAGCCCTCCCAGTAAGAAAGCCCCGAGGGGCTGCATCTTCTTCCATGCGGTCCGTGAGGGATGCGGCACGTGGCCTGGAGGGAGCCTTGTGTGCCCTGCCAGGTGCCAGCCTGCAGCTCATCCTGGCCGCTCTGCAGCTTTGGAAATCAGGACCCGAGTCCTTCTCCCAGCCCGTCCCACAACCCGTCCCACATCCAGTTACTGTGGGGGAAGGAGATCACGCCGTGCGGTGGGACCTTCTCTCATCTGTTCTTGATTCTAGATGATGAGCTCGGTGTTCTCTATCTGGATGATCGCCTGGATCCACATTTCATGCCTGTGCCTGAGGGACAACCCAGAGGTAAGTTGTGTCTGTTTCCTTGAAGGCAGAAACATTCATGCCCTCATAGTTTACTCAGGTGCAATTTTACGTAGGATCCTCTCAAGGTCTTCCAAGTCTGTGCCTTGAAGGGCTTGCACAGATGAACCTTGAGTGTTTCTTTGCTGGGAGAGCTGCCACATTTGGGTGGGAAGGTCACCGCTGCCCCTCTTCAGCTGAGAGAGCCCAGAGCTTCGTATTTGGGCCATGCCATTCCCTGACCCACCGCCAGACCTCACAGGTCTGCCAGTGTTACAAAGGAGGCCCCCACATGCACTGGAAGCTCTCCTCACCTGTGTGACCACACTTGTGCCTGCAGGCCCTGCTGGTGAATCAGCAGAACGGGATCCTGTCCATGAGCCTGAGGGGAATGCTGGAGGTAAGTCACCAGGCTTCGTTTCCTTGATATTTGCTCATGTGTGGCTGATAGTTCAGCAAGGGTTCTGCTTTTCACCGGCCAGTGGGTTCTTCTCCATGGGAAGCATGGGGTGTTGTTGTTTCCTGGGTGCTCTGTGCTCTCGGCGTCGTCTTGGCTTTGCCTCTGTGTCTCAGAGGTCTCGCAGTGAGACAATTGAAAGCAGCTGAATGCTGTTCTGTGAGTTCTCTGAGAATTATTTCCCGTGGCCTGGAGAAAGTATTTGTAAAGCTGTGGAATACCAGCCGTCAGGTCACCGGGCCTCTCTGCAGCTTTGGAACTTTTGCCCCATGCCATTAATTGAGCCCCTTCCATCACCGCAGGTCAGTAAGGAAGAGAGGTGGGCACATGCCATGGGAACGTCTCTCAGCTGTCCTGGATTCCAGCCGTGTCTCCAGGCAGCGGCTGACCAAAGCCCAGCTTCAATCCGGTCCCTGAGACACGGGGCGATCCCACAGCTGAGTCCCTCAGAGGTTTTAGTTTTCATTCAGGTTTTAATTTTCTTTCCTGCTTCCTCTGTGGAAGAGAAGGGAAGATATGGGTCAGGCTGTGTGCAGAGTGCAGTGCCTGCCTTGCAAAGCCGTCGTTGCTGGCCGCTCCAGCCCTGAGCTGCTCCCGGTGCCTTGTGCAGAGCCAGCGGGCACCATGCAGTCGAGCTGAGGGCTGAGCTCCAGGAGGGCATTCCTCTGGGCAGCCCCACGCGGTGTAAGTTCTGTAGGATCGTGGTGCCCCTGCACGTACCTGGGAACTGCTCCCGAGGTGCTCCTGTGTGGAAGGGAGAGAGCAGTGTCACGAAGGAATCCCCTGCTTTAATTGTGTCCTGCATCGTTCCTATTGGGAGGATGTTTAATTAGAGCTGCTCTGTGCTGCGTTTGTTTGCAGATGTGAGTGGAGGAGGTGATCCAGCTTCCCCTCTGAGCTCCGAGACCAAAACCCGGGCGGATGGCATGGGTAAGTCACGGCTCTGTAATTCCTTGGAGAGCTCTCACTGCCCGCTTCAGTGCCACTTCATGGCACTGCTTCCCCCATACGCTCCGCAGTTCAGCAATGCTGCTGTGCATGACTGAAACTTTTCGTGGGTTGCAGAAGTGCCCCAGGGAGGGCTTTGCTCAGTCACTGGTTCGTTCCTGCGCTGGAGCCCAGGTGGATGCCCAGGGGTGGTGGTTTTTTTTACCGATGGCGCTGACTCAGCAGTGGTCTTCAAAACCTCGTGCTCGTGGCATTTAACTTCATGCGTTCCGTGCAGGTCTGGAAAGGGGAAAGGATGAATCGGAAAGAGGAAAATCCTCTGAGGAGTCTTACCATCCAAAAGAACTGCTGAGGGGAACGGAAGTGGCAGTTCATGGTGGGTGTACTTCAGTCTGTTCACTGTGAGACTCAGGAAGCTGAGCTCTGATGTCCGTGTGCAGCCTGCACAGCAGCAGGGCATTGCTCAGAGCCGTGCTGCAGCGGTGTTCCACATGTGCCAGAGAAGCCTGTGTGATGCTGCTCACCTCTCACCGCTCCCGGTTCCCAGAGGGCTGTGAGCTTTGTCCTTTTGGGAACGAAGCCGCCCGAGGGTGATGAGGTGAAGGTAAGGTGGGACGTTGTTGTTTCTTCCAGGGATGAATGCAGGGAAGCAGCAAAGGATGCAGGGAAGCACAAAGGCTGCTGCTGGCAGATCTGTGCGGCAGCGCCACGTGGCAGTGGTGGTGCTGTTCTCAGCTGTGCTGCTGTCTGCGCTGGTGCTGGCCTGCGTTGCTGCGTCATGGCCGTGGAAGGAATGCCTGTGAGTTGTCTTTCTCCCCCAGACACTTCGTTGCTGCTTTTGGCAATGAAGCATTTGTGGTGCCGGGATCCTGGGCAGCCGGATCAGCTGCTGGCAGTGCGCTGCCAGGATTTATGCTGCAAGGTCTTCTAAGTTTGCCCTTATTTCCTGTCAGTGAGTAGTGCTTTCTGAAACTCCTTTTCACAGTGTGTGCAAGGGGGGAGAGAGAGCAGCAGAGCGAGCTCATCCTGACACCGACTGGGAGGGAGTTCCAAGTGGAGATGAAGGGAGAGCGGAGCTGGGAGAGGCAACAAGCGAGATCCTTGCCCAAGCAAACAAGAACCTCAGCAATAGTTCCAGTCCGTTCCGTTCTGCCATCCCAGAGGCCAAAGATCTTCAAAGTCATCTGAAAGACCTGGAGCGTGAACTCCAAGCCATGAAAGAGGTCCATGGGGGCAGTGGTGAGTGCTGCTTTCTGTCAGAGGACGGCCTTGAAAGTGAGAGCGGAGGATCAGCGGCAGAGCGTTTGTCCTTCAACCTCCGTTCCCCGGGACGAGTATCACCAGTAGTTCGAAGGTTCTTAGCTCGCCACAGCTACGATCCTTTTGAGGGTCCTAATGAGGACCCAGAAAGCGAGCTTCCTCTGACCGCCGGGCAGCACGTTTATGTCTTTGGAGATGTGGATGAGGACGGCTGGTTTCTGGGAGAGCTGACGGATGGCACGAGAGGGCTGGTCCCTTCCAGCCTGGTGACAGAGGTTTCAGATGATGAGCTGGACACAACGATGCCTCCAGAGCTCTGTGATCTCCTGCTGGATACGGATGATTGTGTAGATGCAAAGAGTCCATAATGCAGCAACATCCTGTCGCAATTCTTGCCTCACTCCATCTGCAAGACGACCCCCTGCTCCACTTGACGTTCGAGTGAAGTGTGAGCAGGATGTGGATGAGCTCCTCCTGGTTCGATCTGAGATGACTGGCAGTGCGACTGCATGCTGTTATTGTATATTAAAAAATATTTAAAAAACTAACTAACAACACTGTTCTTTTCGAGGATACATTGAGGTGATACTTTTTCTAGCTGAGATTTTGCAGTGAGTCTCGAAGCAGGTTTGAACTGGTAGAAGTTGGCCGTGTTTGCATTCTGTTTTTCATATTTCCTTGCTGATCAGAGTCAAGGTGCCATGCATCCCTTCCCCGCCTCTGGCTGCCCCCCTTCACCGTGAAGAGGACCAAGAGCTTCTGGCACAGAAGTATGTCCACGTGCAAGGCTTAAACTTCATGCGTCTTCCTTCTCTGCTTGGTAAAACCGCGCGTTGGGCTCCTTTGGAGTCTGAGTGCTGGTTTCTGGGCAGTCCTTAGCTGGAGGCTGGAGTGCCTCTATCAGCTGTGGCGGTGCAACTCCCACCCCCACATCCTCCCCCTTCTGCCAGGCCTCTCAGTGCTTGGTGCACTTGGACAAAAGGTGCAGGACCAGTACATGAAGGTGCTGCTCTGTGCCTCTCCCCTGCTGGCCTCTGTGTAGCAAATGGCAGTGAATAGGAGCGTTAGGGGATGCCCGGATTGTCCCTGCCTTCTGCCTCGTGTCCCATTGCCCAGGGCCAATCCTGGGGTCAGTCATCTCCTGGCAGCCCGGTACATCTGGACACAAATCCCGGCCCGTGTGGAGTGGTTTGGAATTTGTGAGTTCAGCAAGTTCTCAGCTTTGTGCAACTGGTGGAAAGAACCAGGTTTTGCCCTCCAAGGGGGCCGGAAAAGTATCTGGCAGATCTCCATCATCTCAGACCCTGCAATTAGAGGTTCTTAGTGAGTGTTAATACTTATCAATACCTGAGGGCAGGTGGGAGGAACATGCATGAAGCCAGGCACTTCAGTGGTGTGCAGCGGTGGGACAGCGAGCAGCGGCCTAGAACTTGAACTCGGAAGTTCTTGCTCTTCTTCCATCCACCTCCTTCCTCACTTATCTGTTTTAATGATACGTGTTTGTTTCACAGCAGTAGGTGCTGAGAGTTTCCCTGTCCACATTTGCTTTGCGTGTTTGCGTGTACGTTCACCTATGAGAGTATCTGCTCTCCCATGGTTTGATATGGGATGTCCCGTCAGCGAGTGAGTGTGAATCTCGTCATCTGCAAATCTATCATCAGGTCCCTGTTTCATTTTTCACATATTTCTTAAACTGCTGCTAAACAGAACCGAGCAAAATAAATTTGCCATTTCCTGCAATGCCAAATTAGCAGAGATGGCAGGATGATGAGCAAAATCGCCAAATGCTTGCAAAAACGTGATGTCCACACAAAGCCTGTGTTCCCTGAGGTTTTAGCTTATGGCTACTGGCATAAGCAGGAAGAAGTAGGAAAGCAGTTGGCCGATGCTGGAGGTTCAACCGGATGGGAAAGGTAGAGGTATAATCTGCCAAATGTTGGCTGGAAGTTTGTTTGAAACCTGCCTGCCAGGAGAGGGGAAAACAAAAGCATGAAATACAGGATTGACAAGAAGAGATCAATGGGTGTAATGCACTGAGCAGCTGATATTGTTGAAGATGGAGCAGCTGCAAAATCTGCTTAAAGAGTTTCATGGCACCGAGTTGGCTGGAAGCGTGGATCTGCCTGGGGGCAGCGAGGCCCTGCAGAGGGGTCTGGACAGGCTGGATGGCTGGGCTGAACCAATGGCTGAGGCTCAACAGGACCAAATGCAGGGTCCTGAACTTTGGCCACAACAACCATTCCAACAGCAAGTCCATCTCACCTCCATTCATGGTTCAAGCATCCCTTGTTGCCACGCAGCACCGCAGCAGCCAAGCTCCAGTCCCTTTCCCAGTGCCAGTGGGGTCAGTTTGTTCTCTTCTCGTCCGCTTAGAGGAACAGAAGCTTCCTGCCCCCCAAGGCTTGTGACAGGTATTTCCCTAGAGCAGCATTCATGTCCTTCTTCCGGCCCCTTTCGCCATTTCCAGCTCTCCAAACTGAGACGTACGGCTGCAGCCCACCCCAGGGCTTCTTTGGGGCACCTCTGCAGCACCCCATCCCAAGGAGCAGATGCCTTTTCCCCACACACCGCTGGGTCGTGGGTCACGTGGAGGTGAGGTGGGGGCGGGGATCCCAGAGTTCTTGGACAACGTGGCGCTTGGTCGCAGCCTGATGGGGGCAGGCGGGGTCAGGGAGTCACAGGGTCGTGTGGGGGTATGGCTCACACAGGGCTGTGGGCCACGTGCAGCCATGGGGTCACGCACATCCAGGGTTCTGTGGTCATCTTGGGGTACGGCTCATGGAGAGTTACGGCTCAGGACCCAGCCTTTGGGCCACAGGGACCCCCAGTTCCCTCTCAGGAAGAAATGAAACCACTCCTACACCACCCCACGCCTCCCCTTTTTACCTCAAACCGCTCCCCACATGCCCCTCTTCCCCCCTGTCTCTCCATACCACCCCACACCCCAGTGTCCCACCTGCAGCCCACAGCTTGACTTGTCCAGAGAGCCCTGTGATCTGGGGGGCTCCTGGTGTCCCCATCCCAGCAGCGGGTGCCGCGTTCAGGACGGTTGGGTGGCCACAAACAGGGACCCTTTGGGGCTAGGGAATGGGCTCTCGTTGGTCACCCTGCACATGGCAGCCCGGAGCCCTCAGCCTCACCTGAACCTGGAGCTCTCCTTCCGCAGGAAGCTCCTGATCCGTCTGAATTCTCCTCCATCAACGCTGTCTGAGCTCAACCGTTTGATGAAGGTTGGACAGCCAGCAAATCTCACTGCAGTGGGGAAGGCAGAGGAGATTCACCGTCAGCCCTTTGGCTCGCTCACCAGGGGCGCTTAGGCCTGCTCCCACAACAGCCCAGAGGGCCGCTCTGCTCCCCCCGCTGCTGCCATCTGCGCCGCCCTCGGACCCTCCCTGACAGCATCCCTGGCCCCGCTCCTCCTCTCTGCAATTCAGCTCTGTTTTGGGACTGCATTAGTGGCGTTGGCTTTGGGAAAGAGGAGCTGGGTGGTGATGATGAGGTGGCAGGGTGGCTTTTGGGGACCGTATCCTTGCACTGGGGGAGGGCAGGGCCTAAGATCCGCACATCCTCCTGACAGAGCCAGGGATGAGGGCACGTCACACCCAGCGCCTTAGTGAGGGAGAGGCCAGCAGTTCCTCATGGGAAGAGGCCGTGCTGAGCTGGCGTGAAGCTCTGACACAAGTCAGAGACCGTGGCTGATGGTCAGCAGGGGATTTCCATCTCCAGTATGTTGCCCGTGCCATGGGAAGGAACTGGCAGCTGCTTTACCTTCCTTGCCCTGGTCCAGAGGTGGCAAAGTGCCTTCTTGCTTTGGTGTCTCCTGACCAGAGAGGCTTCCTGAGGACTTGCGGTGTATTGCGGGAGGTGGTTTGGGTACAAACTCCATTTGAAACCTGCGGGACAGGAGAAGACAGCGAGCGGTGTGACGCAGCGCTCCAGCAATCCTTGCTGCTCTCTCTGTCTGCTCACAGGCACATTTTCATGCTGCATTAAGCACACTACTTTCTAAAGCCTTTTGCAGGGTCAGTCGGGATAGGTGAAGGGGAAACAGTTTCAAACGGCAGGAGGGAAGCTTTAGATTGGATGTAAGGAAGAGGTTTTTGACAGAAGGGTGGCGAGGCACCGGAGCATCTTGCCCAGAGAGGTGGTGGGTGCCCGGACGGGCTTTCGAGGTGGGGCTGGACCAGGCTCAGAGCAACCTCCTCTGGGGGTAGGAGTCCCTGTTCCCTGCGGGGCAGTGGGACAAGGTGCCCTTTTGGGGTTCCTTCCAGCTCAAATCATTCTGTGACTCCATGACACACGCTCATGGGCAGGACCGTCACGGACACGGAAAAAGCGCTCCCAGCTCAGAGAGGCAGCTGCGGCCGCCTTGCTCTGTTTCATGGGCTCCACCTTCCTAAGGACGGAAAAATGCGAGGGACAGAGTTGAAGATAGGGTTGGTTTTCCACAGGTGCTTCCCTAGAAGTGCTTCTGGTGGACATCAGCCAGAACGGCCCCATGTTTGGATGGGCTCCTCAGAGGGGGAGGTTTGCTTTTGAGGATGGAGGCGGTGGCCGTTGGCCCTGTCCACAAAGCCAGCAAAAGTTGAATCCCCCCTCCTACCTGGCAGGGACTCCTTGTGGGGCTTGAGGTGGTGCGTGGCTGTGAGGTTTGAAGCCAGGTTAAACACGGGCCACCGCAGGGTCACGGTCCCATCCTCAGTCCGGACCTCTTTGGGGACGGTGTCAAAGGTGCCGAAGGTGGAAATCCAGACCCCCTGCAAGTGGAAGAGAAAGGAAGGGCGGAAGGGTTATGGGATGGCCGGAGGAAGAGCCGGAGGGGGCCCGACGTAGGGACAGAGCTCAGGAGCCCTCTGCTGCCGTTCAGAGGCACGAGCCAGGGTATCGGGCATGGCTTTGGGAAGGGGCTGCAAGGTCCTCTCCTTCCCCTCGCCCTCCCAGATGCAGCACAGCAGGCAGTTTCCAGCCGTTTCCCCTTGTCCTGTCTCCACTCACCACTGAAAAGAGTCTGGCCTCGCCATTCTGCCCCCCACACCTCAGATACTGATAGACCTGGATCAGGTCCCCTCTCAGTCGTCTTTTCTCAAGGCTGAACAGACCCAGATCACTCAGCCTTTCCTCATAGCAGAGATGCTCCAGGCCCCTCACCATCTTGGTGGCCCTCCGCTGGACTCTTTCCAAGAGATCCCTGTCTGTTTTGTACTGGGGAGCCCAGAACTGGACGCAGTGCTCCAGATGAGGCCTCAGCAGGGCAGAGCAGAGGAGAAGGCTGTGGATGTTGTGCAGACAGGGAACTGCTGGGGAGAGTGCAGTGGAGGGCAATAAAGATGATCGAGACCTGGAGCATCTCCCATATGAGGAATGGCAGAAAGACCTGGGCCTGTTCAGCATGCTGTAGGGAAGCTTGAGAGGGAATCTTAGTAATGCTTGTGAAGATCCATATCGACTGGGGCAGCGTACGGGGGAAGTGGGGCAGAAGACAATCCTCTGAGCTCACTCAGACGTTTCTTAGTGCACCTCTCTCTCCACTCACCATGCCCACACTTCC